TAACTGAATTAACAGTATCAAGAGGATAACCTAAACTACATAGGGTATCCTTAATAAAGCCGATTTCATCGTTCAAGAAGGGCTCAGAACAGATCTATGTAAGAGGGTTTTAATAATGTTAATCTTGCGCTTAGTGGGACAAAAAGAGTCCCAACGCGTATACAACCCTGCGAAAGTTGGTTTTCTATAAACAGAGGTAAGAAAACCTGTTAATGTACGATGTACTAATACATCCAAAAAGGCCAATTGAAGATTGGATTCCTTCTCAACAGTAAACCTCAGTGCTGGATGGATACCATTTAAAAACAAAAGAAACTGTTGAATAAACAAAAGGTATCATCAACATTCCGACAATACATTTGAGAACAAAGTGGACTCTTTCGTATCTTTTTTTCGTGAAAGCCAACAAATATGTTGGCAAGTGCCGGACCCAAAGGCGAACCCATAGCAACTCCGTCAATCTGTCGGTACATGGTGTTGTTGAAACTAAATTCGACGGAGGACGTGGCAAATTTCATCAATTCACAAAATACTGACTCCGGGATGCTAGGTGGAATCAATGAACTGCGATGAAGAAAATCACAGCAAATATCGATGGTTTCCATTAGAGGGACACAAGTATACAGAGAACAGACATCAAAAGAGCACATGAACTTGCCAGAAGAAGACAAATTTTGAATGCGGTCGACAAAGGAAAAGGAATCCTTTATACAAAATCCATCCAAGCACTGCAACACAGGATCCAAAAGTGTGGAGAGCCATTGGGCTAACTTGTGTTGAGCTGAACAGATCATAGATAAAATTGGTCGTAATGGTACACCTTCTTTATGGATTTTCGGGAGACCATACAGACGAGGACGAATCGAACCGGAAGGACGGATTTCGTTAGCAATTTCTTGTGGAAGTAGCCCAGACTTTACCCACTTCAGAAGTAATTTTTTAAATTTTGCTTCACCTGAAGTAGTTCCATGACAGGTATCAGCAGATCTAAGTTTAGTAAATTTTGACGTATCTTCTAAGATCGACGACATTTTGGTTATATAATCTACTCGCTCTCAATAACTCCTCCAGCCCCTTTATCTGGTCTGGAAAATATCAAGTTATAATTATTCCTCAGAGAATTAACAACACGCTGATATTCTGCTTTCCATTTGGATTCAGCAGCTGCAACAGAGGAACTGGAAAAAGTGTGTGCGGAATTATTCAACTGGGCTTTCAAATTGCTCACTGCGTCAACAGAAGTAGGAGACAGTTTTGCCAACTGAGCATAGAAAACCTCGAACTCGCAAAAAATCTTCTCCTTGTCAGGCATAGAGGGTGGAATGCAAAAGTCCAACCCATGAGAAAGAACAAAAGATTCTAACTCGATTAGTTCATGCGTGGACAAATTAATAATATTATTTAAATTTAGTTCAGCTGTAACTCTATATTTCTTGTGAACCAAACTTTTCAACTTAGCATCCTGCTTTGTTTTTTAATTTTTTATTGTATATTTTTCTGTGTTTAATTTTAAATTAAATCTCCCGTTGAAGCCTGAAGAGCGGAGCGAAACCGGTTGCTTCGCCAGTTTTTAATATGTCTAGTAATATTAAGTTTTTTCCACTTTTATTTCGATCATATATATATATATATATATATATATATATATATATATATATATATAAATTGAAAACATTTCATTGAAAATAGATTTCATTACGCGTTTCGCCATTCTAGGTTTCATCAGATCCAAAAACGAAAGAGAAATATGTCTGTATTTGTGTGTATGCTTAAATAATGAATCATAGAACCTTTTCTCTCTGAGAAAAATGAGTGACTTTTTAAAAAGCCGTTAATAATTATTTTTATATTTTCTTTACAAATCTTAGTTCATATCGAAATTTGTTAATATATTTTCCCATATTTTTATATCGAATTAAAGATAAATCTTCAACTCTTTTTCAGGATGGCTCAAAAGCAAGAAATTCATTTAGTCTTTTCTGAAATGAATCCAAGGCAAATCCTCATCTAATTCTTCAGAATGGATTGAAAGTAAAAGATTTATGTTTTTAGGTCAATCCATGTGTTTTCCGTGTCGACAATATGTGGTTAAATAGGATATAGAATCCCAGCCAGATTTTTTAAGAAATTTGACAAATGGAAAACGTTTCATTGAAAATAGATTTAATTATGCATTTCGTCATTCTTGGCTTCATCAGATTCCTGAAAATTAGATGAGGATTTAGCTTTAATTCGATACAATAGTATAGTGTTAATAATATATCTTATTCATAAAAGTAATTAAAAGCTTTTCTAATTAAATAATATTAATTTTATTGTATTTTTAAATTTTACCATCCAGAGCAGATTTTCTATAATTGGGGATCCTTTTTTATAAAAATAAAATGATTTAGATTTTCCAATGAGTTCTGTGTATAACTAATATAAACATTAAGCGGTACAAAAATGAATTTCTTGAAAAATTTCATAAAATTAAATAAGTAGGAGGTAACAGATGTAAACAAATGTTTTACCAAGATTTTCTGAAAAAGAAACATTTCTAAAATAATTTCATTCATATGTAAATAAGTACTGAAAGTTTCATTAAAATCTAACAATTATTTTTACAAGAATTTCAAAATCAATGTCTTTTTCTCTGTAAAAAAAGATAAAATTTTTAACCAAAATTTTGGACGTTCTAAAAAGGGTCAAAAATATAATTCAATAATCAAAAACTCCTTTGGTCCTCTTAATAACAAGAAAGATTTTGAAGATGAAACTTTGTTTTTGTTAAGTTTGGAACATTTTTTCATCATGGTATAGTCATTCTTAAGCGAATCTTTTAAAGTCTAATTATTTTTGAATCTGTTCTTTCTTATTCTCACTGTAACTTTAAAATTAATTACCCTGAGTTTTTTGTTTGTTTAATCTTATTTCCTGTTCTAAATCGTCATTAGGCATTCTCATGCAATAAAAGCATTGAACCAGAATTACCATTCTGTTATGAACAAAGCTGGAACAACAAGACAAACATGATGTAAAGAAAAATACCTTTTCATTCATTTTTGTGTCGAGTGAATGTACAAAACGATACTTGAGCCAAACGTAAGATGTGCGAGTTATTGGTAGCTTAACCTCAATTGGGTGTAGCTCTGTCTTCTTCTCTGTGCCAATCTGCCCAAATAAATAACGGTCCTTCATTTTTTATCCTGTCAGATTTAATTTAGACTTCCATTGATTAGAGGCCATGATGAGACAGCGACCTTACTTTGGTCTTCCTAATTCATATTGAATTAGTATTGAAAAAATATTTTAAGGCGGCAAGAAGTTAAACACTGAATTCTGAACCGTAGAAGTTAAGGAGTTCTGTGGGAAGACATGACATTAAAAAACAGCACTGGTATTCAGAGAACTTAAAACAATTACTCGGTTACTTATTTTAGTACATCATTTTACTTAGAATTATTGCCAAGTGACGCAAACAATAGTCAGTGCATTATTTAAACAAATTAGCTTTAAATAATCAAGTGTCTTTTTACAATCATCTGCCACTTATGTTATTCCCAACTAAGATTGTTTTTGCATAAGTAATCGTTCTAAGTAACGCCGTTAATCGAAATAAGTGCTACGTAATTTGTTGTGTTAAAACTTAAAGGAAAGAAGCTTTGTTATTATAATAGATCTGAGCAACCGTTTGATTCTCTCTCTTTTTTTTTTTTTTTTTTTTGCTTATTAAGTCTAAAAATTTCACCTTCACTCTTAATGGAAGCTGCATTTCGAGTTTTTTTATTATTTATTTTCATTTTTCGTTATTTTCGAATTGGCAACACCATTACTCTTCACCTTAAAATCATTATATTACTTAAAACTTATGGTTTATCTTTGGGTTTGAAAGCAGGTATCTGAAATTGTGGAAGGCGAAACTGTAGATAAGGTGGGGACATTGCATTAACTTATTTAAACTGATTTATTAAAAAAAAAAACCCTAAACGGCCCGACGAACTTGGCATTTTGAATATAAACAAGGTTAATGGAAAATAGACTTTTTAGAAGATGGCAACTGAATGATTTTCAGTGTGAATAAATAAGAGAAAATAGAGACAAGTGACACATGTCTATATGATGTGTATGTAACTGGAAGTAGTTTCGTATGCGTGTTTTCTATCGTATCGTGCCCAAACTTTGGCATAATGGCGGGGTGGGTGAGTGGGCCGAGGGCGTTTTTGTAAGGTTTTTGAAGAATGCGAGACTTGGGTAGAGATAGAGGATTGATGTAAATAAACTGGGTATGATGAAAACTTTGAAACTTTGAAGTACAGAGGCTGAGAATTACTTATATAGACGAGATAAAATGATTGCTGATATATATATATATATATATATATATATATATATAGAGAGAGAGAGAGTCAAATTTGTGTGGGTGTACAAACACGTTTATTCATTCAAATGTGAATTGGTTCGTAGAGAAGCAGACCGTATGGTGAGGGAATGTGAAAAGCAGACGGACGTGAAAGAAAGAAAAGGAGTGATTGAAAGTAAGTTTGAGACAGAAATAGCGAAGAAGGAGAAAGATATAGAAATACTAAAAGAAGTAGATAGGAGGAAAAAGAGGATAAAAGAAAGAAGAAAAGAAGAAAAGAGAGAAAAGAAAAAAGAAATGATGTAGCACTTTTGGTTTAAACAAAAAATATTTTTTTTTAATAGAAAAGGAAAAATGTTGACAGTGAGGAAAGAAAAAAAAAATAATAAGCGAAAAAATAAAATAAGGAAACAATTCAAAAGTGTGTGTGAAAATAAAATTAAGAACGAATGAGAAAGGTACAAAAAAAGTGAACGAAACAAAAAAAAACATTAAAACAATTAGTAAAGAAGAATAAATAAATTATTACGGAGAGAAAGAAAAAAAGAATGGAATTTACAAGTGTCTGGAATCTGTTTGAAAAAAGTGAATTATGTCGGATTATGAAAGAGCAGTCTTAAATACGTGAAATGAATGTGATACTATAGCCAGAGACAAAATGGAAACCAGTTTACTATTTCATTCCCTGCCTTTTATTCGGAGCCTAGCTTTAAAAGTCTTTCCTCAAACACTCCCACAATCAATTCAGTACATTTGTTTCCCTCTCGCCATTACAATTCTCTCTCTCTTTCCGATAATGCTTCCTGACCATCTCCAGACAACCACATCTTACGCTACTTTTCTCTCTCTCTCTCTCCCTTTCTCTGTCTCTCTTTGTCTCCTCCTCTCTCTCCTTCACTCTCCTTCGCGCTCAAGTTCCTTCTCCCTCGATCTCTCTTTTTCTTGTTCTCCTTCTCTCTCTCCTTCGCTCTCCTTTGCGCTCACTCTCCTTCTCTATGCTTTCTCGCACGCCTTCTCTCCCTCTCTCTTTCTCTTTCGCTCTCTCTCCTTCTCGCTCGCCTTCTCTCTCTGTCTCGTTCTCCTTCTCTCTCACAACAGGCAACTTCTGATTATTTATTTATTTTTTGTTAGATTAATTTATGAGTTTGGTTATGGTGTCAATTCGGATCTATGTGATGGAAGAAATGAAATGTGTTGGATAAGTAACATTGAAAAACGCGTGGAAAAGTGTTGCTTAGGGTTGGGGTATGAATCGACATATTAATAGAATGAGAGGGTGGTGGTAGTCATTTGAAAAAAAAGAAGACTAGAATGGAGATACGAAAAAGAAAGTAAGAAAGAGAAAGGAAGAAGTCGGCAAGAAAATGAACGAATGAGAGAGGAAGAAAAAATTGTTTTTTGTTTTTATTTAATTAATTTAATTGTAATTAGCTTTTATTTGTTTTTAAACTGTATTTACATATTTGAATTTAATTATTATTTAATTTAATATAGAATTAATTAACCCGACCGCATTCGGCCTTTTTTTCGTTTATAGGTCAATTTAGGACACGAATAGACCTAGCCTGGGATTATCTCGCGAATAAAAACTTTATTTAAGCACTTAATTCGGCATAAACTATCTTCGTATACGATCTACGTTGTTTGTGTACATTTTTTATGCAAACTTTAGAAAACAGTTTATAAGGCTATAGGGATACAAAAGACGATTATCTCCCTTTGGTCGAAATGAAATCACATGTCGCGTAACGGCTGCTTAGGGACTTCACAAGAGTTGTTCGTTCTCACGGGCGTGGTAAGACGGGCCAACCTACTGATATGCGGGGAAGTTTACAAGCCCACGGCGCCGTTTTCCCTTGCGAATATATCTTCACCACATATAGAAACTATCTTCGACTGGAAGTCCTTATTTTTGGAAATACCCATGACTTGCCGTTTCCTTTTTGTGGTATATGTCGTCGATAGTGACATAGAAGATAAATCCGGCCCGCTCGAATCTCCGTTGGGAATCCTAAATATTTCTTCTCCAGAAACCCAGAAGAATCCTCCGGTAGCTCAAATTGCCGTTGGGAATTATTACACGTAAGACTATGTATCTTTTCGCCATCTTCCCGGTTCTGTGCATGCGTGTGTTTGTGCTCGGCATTGACAATGGAAAACACAAAGCTTGGAATATCTGTTCAACAGCTTTTATTTCTGGTTGAATGAGAGTACAAAATAGTAGTATTTTGCAAGAAAAAAGTGGGGTTTACCAGTTAGCAAAGTTCGTGAGTAGTTTTTGTTGAGAGTTTTCTCCACTAGTTGCCACGGGAGGAACGAGAAATCTGAGTATAAAACTGATAGGACAGACCTCGTTTTCTGCAATGAGAGTTGTGTGTAGCCTCTCGAGCTGGACTTGAAGATTGCGACCACTGTAAAGGAAAAGAGTAAAAGAACGGGTCTTGAATGTATAGGCCGGTGAATTGGAATATGGCAAAGAAATAGGACTCGGTCAATGCTTTTATAACCTCTGAGATTTCCGGTTGTACCCTGCTGATTATTTCCGCCGCTGATGCTGAATCGAGCAAAGTAAGGAAGCCCCCACATGCCACAATAGCCAACAAATGAGATAGTTTCTATACACTGCTTGATGTGTTATATTTTCTCTGTGTGGAACGCGTAAATATATGTATATAATTTTGTGTATAACTTAGCAGCAGGGACAGTGCGTACTAATCTTGAACCGTCCGACCGGGGTGGTACAGCTTGATTTGGAGCCACGAACAGTACTTTGTGACCTTCACCATCTTATCAACATTTGTTTTTTATACCTACATCTATATACGTTACAAATTAAACTAAGCAAAACTGACTATTTAAAAGGATGAAACATTTTCGCGGATTTTAACGTCATTCTGGTGACATTTTCCTTAATTATTTTCGTCCAAATCTGTGAATTTGTTTTGTTCATTCTAAACCTCGAAAAAGTATTGTATAAATTACACTATTTTTTATCTATAATGTTGAATGTGTCAAAATTCAACTTTTTAACAAGAAAAATCTCAAATTGATATTAAAAACTGCTGCAAAACATTGTCGCGTAGGGAGACCGCAGTTGTTTTCCCTTGGGTTGAGCTCATGGGAGTTTTGGCCCCTTTTAGAGAGTAGAACTCTTCTGTCCTTTTTGTCTTTGCTTCCGTTTTTGGAGGAACAGCCTCTTTACCTTCCTGACCACCAGAATGTCCACACACGTGGAAACTGGTCAACATGTGTCTAGCATAGCGAAAGAAAAAAGTACTTTCTATTCACTTATCTGCGGACGATCAAAGGCCATAAAGTTGGTATGTTATTTCTTTGTTCTCATTCTGTAAGCCTCCTCGTTCCTTTGGGACAATATGGACAATCATTCGTTTTGGGACATATGTAAATCTTTTTAATATATGTACGTGCGTTGTTTGCCTTATTAAATGTTTTGTGTGTTACGCTCGCGTATTTCGTTTTTCTATATTCATATTCAGTGTTAGTGTATCAATGGCTAAACTAATGCTATCGTAAACTCAACGGGGGCCCAAGAAAACTTTGCACCGGCACTATTGAGCGTTATAAAATTCTCTCTGAGAATAAAGCATGTTTCTCATTCCTTTTCTTTCAGCTATTCCTTCCCGTCAGTTTATTAAGGTGTTATTATATGGATATCTTATATGGATTATGTGGATATAATAATAGTCATAATGGGGGAAATGTAAACTGGAAATATTACTTTTATGCACAGCGCTCCCATCATCTGATGACTTGCCCGACGTGATGTGATATTATCATTCCCACTAAGGCCTTAAATTATTTTCTCTAAATCCTCGTATTGTTGAGAATTGAAAATTTGATATTTAACCTTTCTATTAAAGAAAGACGAAGAAACAGTGCTAACATTTTCCTGTGACTTTTTTCTTGTGATTTTTTTCTGTGACTTTTCCCTGTAACTTTTTTTCTGGATTCGTTATCAAGACAAAGACAAGCGTTTCACATTGTTCTCAACAATAGCAATAATAAACTTAATTGTCACTGTTATTTCAATTCTTGCATCATTTATAACAAAATCAACATTAAAACAATCAATCCCTCGCCAGTCACAGCATTCAATACAAATCTCTGTATATGGATGACCTTCAATTCTGTATATGGATGACCTTCAATTCTGTATATGGATGACCTTCAATTCTTCAGTGGCGTATATAGAGTTCGCTTTAATTTTAAATATGAAAGATTCTCACCTTTAAGAAATACAGATTATCCGATAAGAATTTACTGAAGTGAAGTTATCTGAAATTCTAAGCTAAAGTATCGCCTACTCAATGCATTATTCAACTGAATATCTTTACCCCTGTTGTATCAACTGCAACGTTTCTACTGATAAATTCCTTGGTTTTCTTTGAACATATTTCACATTCGATAACTTAAAAAAAATTCCCTTTCCTGAAGAGATGGAAATTGGAGTAAAAAAAAAATACTGCAACATACATGTTAAAAAGGCAGTAGAGGTTAACGGCCGAAATGTGCTGATCGAAACAACAAAAATTGGGATACTCCCTCGAGTTAAGCCGATTTATTTGTTCATTCAAACCCCTAAAATAAGTATCTTCAAAAAATGGGTCAGTAAAGTTTAAAATTAATTTCTTAAAAATGAAAAATCTTTCATGTGAAGCTTTAATTTTACTTTTAATTCCAAACTAATAGATTAAATTTAATATTCCCATTTCTGGAATGTGGAGTTATCATTGTTTACACTATTTACATTCGAAGTATTATCTTCATCTTTGTTGTTATTATCACAATGTTACGGACATTTTGTCTTCAGCGAGCTCCGAAATTAACTCTTTATTTAATCTAAAAGGGATAGATTGTTCTCGTTTCACTGCCCATGTCTCGGGATATCTCGTCAACTTTTTAGTACTGATCAGTTATTGCTTGCCCCATTTCCATTGAGTCCAAGTCCACACTGCCCGACCCCAGAGAATTGAATTCCCACGAAACAATAACCTAGTTGATTACAGCGTTCATTCGCGATTTTGTTGACCACAGTAATTGTGAGTTGAATCGCTTGACCGGGCAGTGTGTACATGGATTCAATGGAAATAAGGCGAGCAATAACTGAGCAATACTAAGAGCTAGAGGAGGAGGAGGAGGAGATGAAGAACAAATCAAGTAAGGAAGCATGTTGATCAGATTTATTCGGGAAACGAGCAACGGAAATATTGAACGTCTGAATGCTGGTAACATCAGTAACATTAGAATACTTAAACCACTTGCTATGATGAGAAACATTAAAATTACCAAGCACAAAAATGTTCGCAGGTGAATGTGTTTCTATACTGTCATGAATTTTACCTAATATATTGCAGTCTTGAGAAGAAGGAGTGTGATAAAGGAAAAAGAGATACCTAACAGAATGCAATAACGAAAGTCGATAGCACATGAAAAAATCATGTGGGGACTGGAGGGACAATTCCCTTGCCACTGGCAGATTTTCCCAGATATAAACACCAAGGACATGAAATATGAATCTTAGAATCTTTTCAGGAAATAGGAAGATATCATGGAACAGATAATTCATTGATAGCAATGAAGTATTTAATTTAGTTTCACAAAGTGCGAAGGCATAAGGAGACCATTTCAAGAGAAAAGATTCTCCACTGCAGAAATTGGAACGAATAACACGGATATTAGAGAAAGAATGGTTGAGGAGGCAGGTTTTTGGTTTACTGCTTTTCTCGTATTTCTTTTCATCGTATCTGTCATAAGAAGATTTTGTTTTAAGTAGAAAAAAGCTAAAATAATTATTACTATCTGTCGTCAATTGCGATAAAAACTGGCCAGAACATGGTGGAAATGAAATCATAATGTGGTCTCAGGATTACTCACCGAGAAATATATGCAGGGACACCTACCTATGCTCAACATGGCACTACAAATACTTCGATATTAATCCTCTGTTGATCAGAGCAGCCTCTTTAAATATTACCACATTATCCGGGCTTCTTACTATCAGTCGGATGCAGTAATCAGGAAACTACCAACCTGGTACTCTCATAATGAAGTCTCAGCCACTGAGCAGTCAAATCACCAAAATCTTAAGATAGTTTAATCATTAAAGCAATAAAAAAAGCAATATAAAAAAGAATTTCTCGAAATTTCGTGAAATTAAAATGAATGCGGAGGATAAATATAAAATATTAATTTTACAAAGATTTTCTGATAAAAGAAATATTAAAAAAATAATTGTATTCATTC